TCTCGTTTGCCGGTAATTTTCATAATAATTTCAATATTTTTAAATATTTTTTATAGAAAAAAAATTTTTGAAAATTTTATTTGAGACATGAATGACCCCAAAATAGAAAGAAGGGACCTTTTAACAACTGAACATCTTGCCTTTGTTACCAAGATTTGATACATGTTTTTGTGATAAAGTGTTTTGTACGAAAATCAACAAAAATTAGCGTAATGCATAATTTCTATATAAATTGAGATTCTTATTTTTTGATGTGATATGAACAAAGTTTTATGAAATCTCATTTCTCACAATCAGAAGCCATTCACGCCATAAATAAACAAATCGTTCATGAATTGTAACGATTTTATTGATTTTCAACAGCGAATAATTTTATTATACTGATTTTTCGTTGATGTCTTTCCACTGTGAATAGAATCTCAGATATAATTCTGGCACTCGGCCAACTGAGCTCCGTGACTGTTTACCATATTTTTATTTTCTCACCAAAACAAATGGATCGTTGCACGAAAAAATGTTTGAAAAGCTCTTGACTTTAAATTAAACATTTAATCCTAAACAGATTCAGTTTAGCTAGTTCCATTCAGCCAACGAGCAAACGTACAAAAAACGTAAAAACTCGTACGTCCGTTCTCTAGCAAAGAGAAAAAAAGAAAAACGAAACGTTATGCACGTATGCATATTGAATCAGTTTGACGCGAGGGGGAAAAAAAAAGAGATTTGTTTAATGCCGCGGCTTAATGTTTTTCCACCCAACAGATCGGCCGGTTTGACGGATGTTTTACAAAAGAAGAACGCAGGGAAAAACGAAAGCACCGAAGCCAGACGGGAAAGAGGAAGGGGGAGAACGTGTTGCAATATTTAATCTTCCCCAATGATTCACCTGGATTCGGTTTCACGTCGGGATAAAATTTCAACAGACGCAAAAAAAAAAAACAAAAACGATATCCCTCTCTGTGTCGCGACTGCAAATCCCTTTCCTTTATCAACTATCAAATTTGTTACGCGGCGAGTTTTTCGTTGTAGTCTGGTGTACTATTGTCGAGCCGGGGGGGGGGGGGGATGGAAAAAAAGTTCCGATGCCCTTTGCCGATAATCTGCACGCCGAAATCGTTATTCCAGCCCGGCTTAGAGAACTGTCGGCGCGTTTGGCGTAGGAGTTTTGCGCTTCGTAAAAAGAGGCTACTCTCTCGTGCGCATTACAGTCGGGGACGAGTGCGATTGGGGGCGGAAGGGGAGGGGGAAGAAAAAAAGTAGAAGAAACGGAAGGGAATCGCTACTGGGAAAAATCGAGTCGGATTTCCTCGTTGGAATTTAAATGTACAATTTTCAACAGGATTTCCCTGCAGTTTCATTTCCACTCCCTCCCTTTTTTGCTATTGTTTTACTCGCTTTTGGCCGTAATGAGAAAATTTTTTATTTTCGGGAAGAAAATTTCAAAGTAAACCACCCGTACCACACGATATTTGCTCAGAATATTTGTACACTCTGGATACTTTATGAATTTAAATTGTTATTCTTGCCTGGGCAGTGAAACCCATGTTTACTTCACTACGATTGAAATTTTCCTCAGTTATTATTATTATTATTATTTTTTTTTTCATACCTCAAACTTTTTTCACGCTTTAAATCCTAGGTGATCCCCCCCAAACTCGTCCACAGCTACTAACTATTACCACGTTACTATGCTCAGCCCTTCCCATTGGACACAATGCTTGTGCAGTAAATTATAGTGTTGTATTGGGATGAGCAAATCTTCAAAGCCAAATAACTGAGAAACTCTATGCAGCTGCTTAAATATATTATATGTTTATTGCACACTTGTGATCAATTAGGTTCTCTGAGAATTGTGATTTTGTGCTGCTACGTTTTAAATACCATACTATCAAGGACTTGTCATTAAAACTCTACTCCTAGCTGTGCAGGCAGTTCACAAATTTGTATACTAATTAAAATGTGGTTAAACAACCACTGTCCATCGTTGCTCGACGCGCGAATAATCCGTCACGACCGCAAACTCC